CAAAATAGGAGTTGGAAGAATGGATGTTGGAATGCATTTCTTCAGCGTATCAATATCAGGGTTTCCTACAGAGGATATCACCCTTCAATTTTATTTATTCCCTATTTTTTAGACAAACATGTATAAGTCCCACATCAAAAAGAGACTAACATTATTTTAAGTGGGGTACATGTGGTCTCAAATGACGTGTTTTACAATTAAGCTATAATCTGCAAAAAAACATCTTGACTTTCGTCTTTTTCCGTTTTTAGAGCAATCTGTCATAGAATGTGATATTATGCAATTAAATACAAAAAGACTGCCCAGAATCGAACCCGGGTTACTGCATCGTGAGCGCGACTGCTTATCCACTATCTGTGCACACAGCAAATGTTGCTGTAGATGCTAGTCTGATCCAACGAATTCAACTGTTCATGAAGAATGCACTCAGAGCAGCAAGTTTTGCATCACACAAAAACTTTTATCCGCTGTCTCAATTTTTCAAAAGCGTCCCGATATAAATTCTCGTTTCAGTCTTTGTTTTGTCATTAATGATTTGAGAGTCATAACAAGACCTTTTTTACTTCTGCGGCCACATGTTATTTTACCAGTGAGATTAGTGAGCAGCGCCGAGTTCTGGCAACCCAGATCACAGACTGATCGTAAAACTAATTTTGATATTCAAATATCTTGGCTGAACTACTGTTATCAGTTAAAGATGTATTCGAAAAGAGCATGATTTAATAATGCCTTTTGAAATATGGGGGACATTTAATGATGACTTTACATGCCAATATTACATATTGCTACTTAAAAAAAATGTTTTTAAAGTTATTTTTACAGTACAGATTATAATCCACGTTACAAAACGTAATTGTTTTTATACTTTTTTTTAGTTGAACTATCCATATTTAGATGACCTGCAACAACTTGGTTATTAATACGTGAAAATCATGCATTACTTTCACGCATCAGCTTGTTTTTACTTTGACCAATCACACACAGCCTTAAATGCGCACCCCCTAAAGTCCCGCTATGTCATTGGCAAGTGGGCAAGCACAAATAGATCCAGGTGAGAAAAGTGAAGAACATCATAAATGCACTGCTGTTCTGAATTGTGGGACTGGCTTCAGTTTCTGCGATTAACTGCAAAGCTTGTTATAAGAAATGTTTATTGTATACATGTAGAACTTGTTGTTGCAAGAATGAATACAGACGCCCTCTTCAAGAAGAGCCAGCTCTTTTTTGCTGAGTATACAGTATTTTATACTGCTTCTTTATTAAGCTAAATATAGAGATTTTATCATTTTCAAGTATATACTTTTTCAAGTATAGGGTTGTTCTTAGGGTTACAAAATTACGCACTTTTTCAAAGATGGAAACTTTCCATGGTAATTAATTAATGGTAATTCCGCGGGTCTTCGTCCAAAAGGAGACTTGTTTTCTTCCTGGTCAAACTTACGCACAGAGTCGGGTGAGCAAAGTTTTCCACTTTCTACTGGTTTGTTTTCAATAAACACAACTGACAAATAAAAAGCTATATTGATTTTTCTTTTTGTTTCAATATCAATCAAAAAATTGATTAATCATTCTTTCCAAAGTACATGGGATGTTTTGCAGCTTGTCCCCTTCTCTTTGGCAAAAAATAAATAAATAGTGAGGACCACTGTCCAAGCTTGTCACGAGTCTCCCAAAATGTCTATATAAATGATCAACACTTCCCACACTGGGCAGGATGTGCGCTACAGTTCCCCTCCTTCTTTTCTCATCTCACAAAATGTTCTCCCCATCTCAGTCTGTGCGTCTGCTATGGCTATGACCTGTCTGGCTTTGACGTGTGTGTTGCCACATAGACTCCTGCTAGCTTCTACTTGCTATATCACATTTAAAAATTGTCCTTTTGAATTCTTAAATCTCAGCCGAACCTCCAATACCACCACTATAGGAGACTTTAACAGAGTTAACGGAGTGGAAGCCCTGTGCTACTGTAAAGCATCAAGAGGAGGGCGGAGAGTAGGAGGAGGCGGGGAACATTGCCATGAATGATTTATTAGTCTGGCATTACTGGGCCGATCCCCACAGAGAGAGGAGAGGAAGATGGAAGGATCTGTTGAAAGATGGATACTTCAGGGGCAAGAATAAACATGAAGAAAAGAAGAGTATACATTTTGGTGTTTAATTCTGAGTGTAAATGAGAATATAATTCAGAGTGAGTGAAGAAAAACATGGCTGCTTTATAGGCTTCCAAATGTTTTTTGGTGTTTCTAACTGACCCTCCGTTGAGAATAGTTTAAATTGAAGACTAAACGCACTGGAACCCCAAGCACTTTAATTTGACCACTTGCCAACTTTCACTTTTTAATTTCTCAGAGTAACACACAGCATTGTGTATCATTGACACTTCATGTGCCGACGGTTGATTGGTTGTCTTTACACGTTTCATTTTTTTTTCAACTTTCATTACTTGGCCCCTAATAAATACACGTTGTCTCATGTGTCTTTGCACTTTTCTTTTGTCCACTGTTTTTTGTGTGTGTTTGTGTGTGTGTGAATGAATGAATGTGTTTGTTCTACGCACATCTCTTCCCTCTGCTGCCCTCTTTATTTGGGCCGTGCCTTCTCTTTATTTATGTGGCAGAGGAACAGCTGTCTCGTGCAGGGCATAAGGCTGGGAGAGGCCAGCCGGCTGCAGGCTCCATGGAGCCCCGACACTGTGTTCATTGTTCCCACATACACAGGCGCGCACACAAGCTCTAGACTCACACGCAATCTGTGCGCGGGCAAGCCGGACATCCATTCACATCCAATTTAAAAAGGAAAGAGGAGGCAGTATAACAGTCAGTATAGACTTTGACTTCGTGGAAAACGTTATCATACCTACAAATCTGAAGTTGTCGCCACTAGACCAGGACAGCTATTAAACAGGCATAAGTTGAAGCAATTTAAACGTAATCTCCTCAGAGTATGCATCAAACTTTAAACCTTTCAATTCATTATTTTGCCTGTGTAGGAAATTCGGTCAAATTTGTTCCAAAACTAAATAAAAAGAGGGTCAGACGTTTACATAGATAGACTAAGTGGACTCTGCCTTTTAAACACAAAAATATGATAATGTGTAAATTGTAACTATGACACAATTATGTGATAAAACGGTGTTTTGTGGGACTCTTCCTTTTTCTGGCCTTCTAATTTGTAAGTTTAAAAGTTTAAGTATTTTCATTTGGATACTTTGAGTCTATCAGCTGGTCTCCCTCTAACCATCCAATTTTCTCCTTGGGTATCAAGGCTAAAAGTTATGGGTTTTGTTAGAAATCTGAGAGTCTATAGAAGGCGCTACTCTGCTGGACACACAGGACCATGACAGATTCTTACACCCAGCTGTCACATTCCTATGAGGAGCCCCTCCACTGTATTATGTAAAACTGACAGAAGGACTGTGATGAAGGCTTCACACGGTGTGAAGCCAGCACTTCTCTGTGGCCACGATGAGTTGACCAGCTATGGCCTGACATTGACACGCACATACTCCTACAGTTATACTATGTCTCGAGCAGTGTGCCTTTTATCTTAGTTTGTCTGTTTTCATGAGAGCTTATAGAGACATTACATCATGGAAAGATGGTCTCTAATATGCTTCAGGTTTTTACCAAACTGCTGCTGTGATCATACAATAAAAATAAATACAAATTATTTCCCTTTTTTGCCTGTAGTACTAATTGAAGATGTCATGAATATTTGGTTAATTTTGTAAAGGGGTGTATAATATACAATTTTTAATTCATCTGTATATAACAGACGATACACAATGTCTTGGTATTAGAATGGATGTGTTTTTCTTAATAATCATATTCTGAAATTGGGCAACACGATGGCACAGCGGTTAGTTCACATTCTTCACAGCACAGCAAGAAGATTATAGGTTTACCTCCAGACAGAACCCTTCTGTGTGGAGATTGCATGTTATCCCAATGTTTGCGTAGGTTTACTCTGGGTGCTCCGGTTTCCTCTACCACTAAAAACATGTACATTAGGAGTGTCTTTGTTTACGCATGAGTGTGTGGCAAGAAGACTAGCGGCACATACAGAAGCATGGATGCGACGAGTACTCTTAAAAGACTTAGTGGGCGAAATGCACTATATATAAGCACTACAATGGAAGAAGATCGGAGGAGATATAAAGATAGACTAAAAATAAGTATAGGAGACTGAACTGAACAAATTCAAAGCCCATATGAGTGGAGAAGGACGGTCTTGATCTACCTCATAATCCATGTTTTTGTCTATGTTGGGACCCTGATCGCTATTTGGGAAACCTGAATCAGTCCACAGACAACAATGATTATGTTTATTGTATGAAGAATGTATATATCTTCTTGAAACAACTCGTACACAGGCATTACAACTTACTACTAACAAAATTAGCCTCACATACTCTTTCTGTTGATTCCGGAATCCAGGCTTTCTTCTGCATTTCTTGCGTTTTTGATAAAGGCTTTTGGGCTTTATCTGGCCCCCAGCGGGACATACAACCGGCCACCCAACAAGAGTGGACCATTTGATTTTGTAAAACATCTCTCCAAATGCCGAAAACTATGTAACTTTGTAGCACCCACTGTAGGTAGTAGTCACTGCCTTTTTGCCACCCAGTCACGTGACAGGCGCGGGAAAAACAATAAACAAAGACGTCACTCAAAGATCCTCCTATAGGTCCGACATGCTCTTTCTGTATGGCGTCCCTGCTTCCATCATTGTGTTGAGTGGGACAAAAAGTGCCCACAACAGTTGTAAAGCGCTTTGACTGTCTGTGAAATGTCCTAAAGATTACTTACTTAGTGCTTTCCATGTTTCAGTGTTTAGTTGAGTGGGGAACCTTTATTGACATTCTGATTGGGTCTTTCCTGCCCTTTTATGTATGCGTTTACTCATCAAATGCTTATCTATGTGAACCGATGAGATTTTGTCTGAGCGCAAGGGTCTGTACAAATAGATGACTTTGCTCAAACATTTTTGTCTCCTCCCAGGTATACCACGGCCTAGACATCATCACTAACAAGGTGACAGCAGAGGAGCGTGCCCAGTGCAAACATCACATGATCAGCATCGTGGACCCTTTAATGAGCACTTATACCGTAGTGGACTTCAGAAACAAGGCTCTCACTCTCATATCCTTTTTGCTTCTATTTCCACACTACTCGCATCGGCTTCGGAATTCTGTGGGGGTGTTTAGGCAATGTCCTTGTTTGGTCATTGCTTTTACAGATATTGTGGTAAAGAAGATCCCTTGGCATGATATTTAGTTTGTGGGTTAATGCACAAGACTCACACGACTGAGGGATCCCACCCCGCCCTGTTTTTGCTCGATGCCCCATTCTACTGCAGACAGCGGCTGTCACACAGATGTGGGCTAGAGGAGGCAATAACTGAGGTGGTATTAATAGATCTGCCAGTGCCACACATACACACATGCACAGCGGTCTAGCACGGAATGAGGTAAAGCTCCATGAATGGTTAGCTGCTGTATGGTGGCAAGAGAGGAATGGAGCAATGAATACAAATTGAAGTACAAATGTAAATCAAGGTAAAGGAAGGACAAAGAATCGGATATGTCCTCTTAGACCCATTTGACAGTCATCATGACTCATCATCAGCTATCAGTTGCCAACCGCTTTCCCAAGAAATCCCTCCTCTGTAGTCGGCGCACTCTTATTTTTCTACTGGCTTCAATCTCCCGCACTTTCCCCTGATGCAGTCACAGTGATGCTGCAGCTATTGTTTCTGTGTGCGTGAAGGGGAGGGAGTGTGACTGGTGGAAATTGCCTTGATCTTGTAAGTGTCCTTATTTAATTATCCCTGAAAGAGAGACGGTGGCGGCACACAGGGAGCGGCGGATAGCGCAAGAACTGCGACAGAGAGCAAGGAATGTTTGATCTTCTTAAGAATGATTGAATGAAAGCCAGTGGATTATTTAAAAGCTAAACTGTAAAGCACTTTCATTGGCGATTATCCCATTTGCACATTGTGGTTCTGATTAACAAGTAAAATATTGTATATATTTCACAAACATAATTTCCTACTCATTTGGACCTGCCTAATTTCACAAATGCTCCATGAACTGTTATCAGTGACAATGGAGCGGCCATATCCCATATATACAAAAGATGAAGAATAGCTTTTCGACCCGGATCTTCTGAGAAACAGGCCAAAGTTGGAGCTTTATAGAGAGACAGAGGGAGACCGATGACTGCTAAAAATACTGTTGGGACTCTATTGTGGAGAGCCAGGGCGCTGTATAGAATGCTTTCTCAGGATAATGAGCTCTTGCAGATATGTTGAAACTTTGGTGCCTAAAGAGTTAACATGTGCTGGGATTGAGGCATTCTCTTTTCATTTCAACTCACTTGTTCTTGTCTCTGAGGAGTTAGCGTTCGATTGGCAGCACACTGCGTTAATGGCTGCAGTCATTTACGCACTGTGGACATCTTATGTGTCGATTTTATATTCCACATTAAGCTCTTGTTGATTAGTACAGAATGATGTAAACCAAATATAGGGATGCAAAGATAACTCTGATTGATAACATAGTCTAGTATTGTAGTTTGTAAGTATTTTCCCATGTTTAGGAATCTTTATACACCAATCTAATACACCAATGGAAGCTTTTATCCTTGACTTACTTTAACATTAATGATATGCACAGTAGGAACAAGCTGCCCATTATTGTGGGAGGAACAAACTATTATATTGAATCACTGCTGTGGAGAGTGCTGTTGGATACAGGGGTGAGTGAGAAGGACCAAATATTTTATTGGCCACAAGGTGATTTCAGTGTTTTCAAAGTCGTTATCAACTTTACCTCGTCACAGGACAATGACAACACTGGTCATGGGGAAGACACAGTGCCCAACAGGAAACTGGAGCTGGAAAAACTGGGAGGAGCCGAGTTGCATAAACGACTGATGGAAGTAGACCCGACAATGGCTGCTATGTTGCACCCCAATGACAAACGCAAGGTAGCAAGGTAAATCGATAACACATTTTTAGGGTAAAGAAAATGAAATGTAATTTTTTTCCACTATGATGCATACTATTTGTATTTGTATTAAACAACAATTAGTGTATATGTCCTGAAACCTGCTCAGTAGTTCTTTGTTGTCACAGGTGTTCAATTCATATGTGACATGAACACTCCACTTCATGTTCAGACCTTTTTTATGGCAGCTTTTGTACACATTTTTACACTTTTGTGTAATCTTGTGAAGTTCATATAATCTGTATTTTCCCATAGTAAATATCATTTTTTCCCCTTCAGAAACTACAAATAAGCAGTTACCCAATTCTTACCACTCTCTCCCAGTCACTGAGCTGATGAGTTGCAGCCCTCAGAGTGTGCGGGTTAGGTTACCCTGTTCTTCCGCCTGATGGGAGACCACACGAATCATCTTTTCCTCTTAACATTTGGTTGTAGCCAAAGCACAATCAAAGGACTGGCTGAGATTTGAAAATATATATTTTTAGATAATGTAAGATTTAGTACACACATGTAAGCTAAGTGGATAATTGTGACTCATATACCATTGTTCACACATGGTTGCCAGTTAGCTCTGCCAGGGTTAGCAATCTAATTGAAAACTCAATTTAAGTAGCCGCACTTAGATATTAGCAAAGGCTGAAATTATTCAACTTTCATCATTATTTTTACAATTACCCTGAACTTGTTGCATTTGATTAAACTCTGACTATTCCTGTGTTCGGAACCATACAAAATTGCAAGGATCATTTCAAATGCAAATATGTTAAGACCTTTAATGAAGCTTTTTTCTATTTGAGTGCATTTAGACTGTTTTAGTATTGGAAGTGCCAATAAATTAAGACTAGACTAATTATTAAGCCTAGTATTGACTAACTTAATTTAAATCATAGTGATTTATTCCCCTCATTTAACGGGATAAGTTGTTTTTTATTGTACCACTTGAAAAAATGGACACATTTGTGGCCAAATTTGGACTTGCACACATTCTGAGACTATAAAGAAAGTCAACAGTAGCAGCTGCTTCACTGTTTGGTTTAATTCAGGCATTAACAAAACCTCAAAACGCATGAACCAACTGTACATATAAAAATGATGCAAACTTTAGTTAGTACTTTTCTAACTAAACAGACCACTTCCTTCAAGGAGTCTGCAGATCCACCAGGAGACTGGTATACCCCACAGTGAGTGGCTGGAGGAGCAGAGGAAGCAGGAGGGTGGAGGAGGCCTGGGTGGACCACTGCGATATCCAGACCCATGCATCTTCTGGCTACATTCTGATATGGAAGGTACCATATACTTAACTCTATGGTATATTCTCATTAGAAGCACAAATCATGCAAATAGTTTTGAATAATGTATTCCTTGTTTGACCCTTAGTTCTGGACACTCGCTTGGACACTCGGGTGGACGAGATGTTGGCTGCAGGACTGATTGATGAGCTGAAGGATTTCCATGTTAGCTACAATCAAAGGAAAGTCGTGGATGAAAGGTAACAATGAAGTATACAGCAGCTCACTTCTTAAAGGAACAGTGTGAGGTTGTTGCTCTTACTTGTGTTAGCCGCTAAAAGATGTATTGTGACTGCGCTGATGTATTGTGATTGTCGAGCTGCAGATTTTGGTTTGCAGACCAAAGCAAAGCAGTCCAAGTCCATATCGGCTTGAATTATTTCACTTAATTTACTAGGTGAGGTAGATTTTCATACTTTGTTTCTTTAACACCAAATCATGGACCGTACCTTTTACTATAAATAGATGTCCCTGTATTAAATGTACACTCTCCGAAGCAATGATACCTTAAACAAGTGTTATCTCCCCTGAAATAGGTATACAGTCATCACACAGATGTTTTCTGTGTTCAGCTACTGGCCTGATAAAAGTCTCTTTATACACGTTTCTACCCGACTATCTGAAGTAATGCTCCAGACATGCCGTCCATACTTCTTGGAACTCCAAGAAGTACTCCCTTCTTTGTCTAACTAGGCTATTAACATTAAGCCAAACAACTGTCTGTATTTTCATTTCTAATCTTTGTTGGGACAGGTCAGGCTGCACTCTCTGTTTTTAAACAAAGCTGACAATGTTGTGGCTTTGATATAAGTAAGACTTATTTGTTTATGTTCCTGAAGAAATAATGCTGAAGAGACAGATTTAAACCATTCACATTAGTGGCACCTCGCTAATGTGACCGCAAGAATGTCTCCCTCAATGTATATTGTACATTGTTGCCTGGAACAAGTTGATCTGCTTGTTTAAATACATAATTGTGTTAGAGATTGATTTGGTAATTGAGTTTGTGCATCAGTACTGTATTTAGAGTATCCCTGGCATTTCCCCACATCATCTTTACTGTTCATTGTTGTCTCCTGATATATTTAAGAACCAAAGGGATGTTTTTCTTGTGCATTCATGGGCACAGGTGACGTTTGTGCTTTGCAACAAGAAGCTTGCATGTTCTCCGTGTGACTTCGTAGGTTTCCTCTGGGTGCTCCAGTTACACCTACCAACAAAAATATGTTCAATAGTTCAGGATACATGTGTTTGTGACTGTGGGATGAGCTAATTCGCACAAGCTACAATCTGGTGTATTTACGACATTGCTGTTCAGTAATGCACACTCAAAAAATGATGTCCTTTCCAAATATATTTGCTTTCAAGTTATGTAGTTTAAGCTAGCCACATAAATTTCTATTGACCTTTTTATTTTTATTTTATTACTGGCCCCATTCCCATCTTTTGTATGATTTGTGTAAGATTGCGTTTATGATTTAGTTACGTCTTTTTAAATATTTATGGACTTCTTATTATGCTATCCCTTTGTCTAATTAAATCTCTAAATCTTCTAGTCTCCTCCCTTCACCTTAGCGCATAGACCACAGTCTCCTCCACATCTGAGGAAGCTGTGGAGGATCTGATCTGATCACGTCTCACTCTCTGTGGCGAGACATCAAGGTCACCCGCTCTGGGTGCCCTCATTTGACTCCACGTTTCCCGTGCTGTTGGCCTTGTCTCACATATCAGCCAATTTGAGTCATTGTATCTGCTAATGTTTGAGTTGGGAATGAGGACTTTTATGGGTCAGTATGTCAATATGGAAAAATCCTTTTCACAAAACCAGTATACATTTTCAATAAATTCATTCTATGGATTCATTACATTATGCCATTTGAGACTACATTTACTCTGAAGAAGTTTGCAATAAATCAAAAACTTTGTTGACAGTGCTCCTGCACGTATATCATACACACAACTGATTGCTTTGCTACAGATGCTGGGGTTTAGGTAGAGGCCAATGAAAAAGGCCACCCAAATAGGAGTCATGTGATACAAATTCTGCTTTCTGTTTGAATAATCGGTTCCCAAAAGTAGACTTGAATAATGTGGCTATCATTTATTTATTTATTATTTGTTCAACAACATAAGTTGAATCCACATCTTTTACATAAACATTTAGGTTTGTGAAGGGACTCCCATGAAGCACAATTGGCTTATACAGTGCCTTGCGAAAGTATTCGGCCCCCTTGAACCTTTCAACATTTCGCCACATTTCAGGCTTCAAACATAAAGATTTAAAATTAAATTTTTTTGTCATGAATCAGCAACAAGTCGGACACAATCGTGAAGTGGAACAAAATTTATTGGATAATTTAAACTTTTTTAACAAATAAAAAACTGAAAAGTGGGGCGTGCAATATTATTCGGCCCCTTTGCTTTCAGTGCAGCAAACTCACTCCAGAAGTTCAGTGAGGATCTTTGAATGATCCAATGTTGTCCTAAATGACTGATGATGATAAATAGAATGCACCTGTGTGTAATCAAGTCTCCGTATAAATGCACCTGCTCTTTGATAGTCTCAGGGTTCTGTTTAAAGCGCAGAGAGAACCATGAAGACAAAGGAACACACCAGGCAGGTCCGAGATACTATTGTGGAGAAGTTTAAAGCTGGATTTGGATACAAAAAGATTTCCCAAGCTTTAAACATCTCAAGGAGCACTGCGCAAGCAATCATATTGAAATGGAAGGAGTATCAGACCACTGCAAATCTACCGAGACCCGGCCGTCCCTCCAAACTTTCATCTCAAACAAGGAGAAGACTGATCAGAGATGCAGTCAAGAGGCCCATGATCACTCTGGATGAACTGCAGATAACTACAGCTGAGGTGGGAGAGTCTGTCCGTAGGACAACAATCAGTCGTGCACTGCACAAATCTGGCCTTTATGGAAGAGTGGCAAGAAGAAAGCCATTTCTCAAAGATATCCATAAAAAGTCTCGTTTAAAGTTTGCCACAAGCCACCTGGGAGACATGTGGAAGAAGGTACTCTAGTCAGATGAAACCAAAATTGAACTCTTTGGCCACAATGCAAAACGATATGTTTGGCGTAAAAGCAACACAGCTCATCATCCTGAACACACCATCCCCACCTCAGCTGTAGTTATCTGCAGTTCATCCAGAGTGATCATGGGCCTCTTGGCTGCATCTCTGATCAGTCTTCTCCTTGTTTGAGATGAAAGTTTGGAGGGACGGCCGGGTCTTGGTAGATTTGCAGTGGTCTGATACTCCTTCCATTTCAATATAATTGTTTGCACTGTGCTCCTTGAGATGTTTAAAGCTTGGGAGATCTTTTTGTATCCAAATCCGGCTTTAAACTTCTCCACAACAGTATCTCGGACCTGCCTGGTGTGTTCCTTTGTCTTCATGGTTCTCTCTGCGCTTTAAACAGAACCCTGAGACTATCAAAGAGCAGGTGCATTTATACGGAGACTTGATTACACACAGGTGCATTCTATTTATCATCATCAGTCATTTAGGACAACATTGGATCATTCAAAGATCCTCACTGAACTTCTGGAGTGAGTTTGCTGCACTGAAAGTAAAGGGGCCGAATAATATTGCACGCCCCACTTTTCAGTTTTTTATTTGTTAAAAAAGTTGAAATTATCCAATAAATTTCGTTCCACTTCACGATTGTGTCCCACTTGTTGTTGATTCATGACAAAAAAATGACATTTTTTCTTTATGTTTGACGCCTGAAATGTTGAAACGTTGAAGGGGGCCGAATACTTTCGCAAGGCACTGTATGTAGGGGCCCCAATAAAATTTACATGTCAAAAAAAAAAAAAAAACAGGACAACAAAAAAGACATCCTCCCACAACCTCGCCCCACCCCCCACCCCAGTTCAATGCATTTTAAGACTGCCAGCAGCAGTCATGCCTTACCCATGTCTGTCAAACATATACTGTCCGCTTCAACACACTCACATCAGTTCTGCAATAACATGGTACAGGAAATAAAATTAAAACCTTAAGTAAATGCATTCTCTTGGTTTGTCTGAATTGATTTAAAAATATAATAATAATAATCAAAAAATAACAAGCTATATCAGGCCGAAGGAAAAGGGGATCATGCATTGTCTATCCAATAATAATGTATGTCAATGTCAACTTTATTTGGGCAGCTGGTGCTGTAAATTTACTATACAAAGTGCTTCACAGCACTTTGCGCAGCTGGAATGATAAGAATAGAATAAAAAATAGAATAAAACACGAATGATAAAATAGAATAAAACAGTATAAAATACATACACATACATGTAAAAGTAAAGTGGTAAAGCTCAATTGGTGTTAAAAGCCAGAGCGTAAAAATGTGTCTTTAAACTAGACTTAAAAACTTGCAATGAAGGAGCTGCTCTAATGAACAGAGGTAGACTATTCCACAGTTTGGGGGCAGCAACAGAAAAGGCTCGGCCTCCTCGAGTTTTGAGACGAGACCGGGGCACGCTCAACAACAGCTGGCTTTCAGACCTCACTGACCTGACAGGAGCGAACAGAGACAACAGCTCCGACAGATGTACACGGGCCAAACCAATCAAACATTTAAAAACAAGCAACAGAATCTTAAAATCAACCCTGAAAGTAACAAGGAGCCAGTGAAGTGAGGCCAGCACAGGGGGGATGTGCTCTCGCTTACGTGTCCCTGTGAGTAAGCGAGCAGCCTTGTATCCTTGCTAATTATCATTTTCACATATAGTCATTGCCGGAGTATAAGCTATTTTCAAGGTCTTCAAGTCCATGGAACCCTGCGGCCTATAAAGCGATGCGAGTTTATGGTTTTTGACTCCATAAAGTTTTAGTAGGAATGTTATTGTCAAAATGGATTGTCAGATTGGATTTATCAGAGTACTTTGATCATGACGCTGAATAAAATACCTTTCATTAAATCATTTTGTGTACAGTTACAACAGTTATACATTACAACATGAAATCATGCAGCCTATATACAGAAATGACTTTCTTTTGAAATGTAGATGGAGCAGTTTGTACACAGATGTGCTGTAAATAAAGTACCTTTGGATGTGCATTATTCAAAAAATCACACATTCCAGGATATAAACTTCTATGGCACTAATTTATCTTTATAATGTAATCCTTTCCATTGTCTCTGAAGGGCCTCATCTGGTCATACCAATAATCTTCTGTTTAGAGGATCTTTCAGATGTAAGTCAATGATTTTAACAAAATGACAAAGTGAAGAGTGAAAGTAAAAAGAGAGAACAAATACACCAGCCTTCTTTCCTCTGCTGTGCTCTCAGCCAGGACTATCAACATGGGATTTTCCAGTCCATTGGCTTTAAGGAGTTCCATGACTACCTGATCGCTCCAGAGAGCAGCAGCCAACAGGAAAGAGATGCACTACGCGACAAAGGTCAGCAGATCAGCATTAGTCAAACATTGATATTTATGGAATAATGTAACGTCATTATTATCGGCTGTTCCTGTGTAGGTGTAGAAGCTTTGAAGATTGCTACTAGACGTTATGCTCGCAAACAGAATAAGTGGGTTCGGAACCGCTTTCTTAAACGTGAGTATTGCCGAGATAAGTAGTTCAGAAGCATCAACTGTGTCCAATTTGAGCAGACTTTATCCAGGCGAAGAGTAATGCCAGTTATCACAAGTACAAGTAGTCTCTTTATGCTTAACTGGTTCATTTGTAATCATCTTGGTGCACAGTCATTGAGGAGAATTGATGGCTTTACTCAAGTGATGCTACAGTTGAGGAGAAAGTAAGATTCATGTCACACAATGGAGTGACTAACATTCAGTTTACAAAGATCGGTTGTACAAGACAGAAGAATATAATTGACAATAAGAACAAACTGAATATCTTGATCAGAGACGTCCAAAGTTTTAAGTAAGAGGGCCACTTTAGTTAACCAGGCTTGTCCATCCTATTGCAAAACTGTTAAGATAATTAGTTATTAGAGAGGTGAAGTTGGCTGAATGACATAATTTCACCAGCTTCATTAGCAGATTTAATTGGAGCTTTGTCATGGACATATTGGCAACAAGAAAATAAGTTTTCACTAATATCTGTAATGCTTTATTATTATCAGTTTGGTCACATACACCTAAGGCATTCAGCAACATAAATATTAGGACGTTGACACAATTTTCCAGCACCATGACTTTGAAATGAAATAAAGAAAAGGCATCACACCAGTTTATTAAAATGACATGTCGACAACAGTTGGAAAGGTCGGCATGTTGTTTGGACCCGTGTCAGCTGTTCACCACAGGGACAAAGGGAACTTTCAAAATAAGTTTTCTAAAGTCACAGCACATTGCACCCTGGAGCAGAGAAAATGACAGTATAACGCACTACAGCAAGCTTATCATCCACATGGAGCAATATAAACTTTTTCAACCATATTTTTACAAGAACAACTTTATAAAAGAGCAGCACGTGCGACAATAAGAGCGTCACTCTTGTTAAACTGCTTGTTACACTGTCATTATACAAAAGTTTGGATGAACCAGATGTAAGCAATGGCCTAAAAAACGGTTTGGTGTTCACATTCATCACGCCTCAAAGGACTAGGTTGCAAGGATTGGCAGAGGTTTGATGCTGTACACGCTTGCTGTACTGTCCTTTTGTCCCTCTTTGAGATCTATACATCGTGTCAAAGCAGCGGTCTTCTCTTGCTTCTCCCGCTCCAGCTCCTGCTTGAGCTCGTTCAGTGACTTGTTCAGGGATTGGTTGGCATATTCTTCTGTTTGGAATTTGCCCTGAAACTTCTTGGACCTGCAGCTTTAGCTTGATCTCCCGGTTCTTGGACCTGTAGATCACATCTCTCATCACATCCATTCTTATTGTCTTTGTCCTGGATTTCATGGGGCATTTAAGGTATATAGGAGGATTTTCCCCAATTATATGAAAGAACTGCTCTTTCTACTTTAACTCTAACTCTTTCTATTAAAAAGAACTCTCTGGTCTTGTTTGATGAGCACGTATCACCAGAATGAATCACAATTAGGAGGACCAATAGTCTTGATGATCCACCCAGAAGTAGAAAATCCTCATATACCTTTTTTAAGACCTTCTCCTGAGCCTCATCTTGCAGTTGCCCATCCAGTTCGCCACATTTCTTGAAAAGCTTCTCTAGTTCTCAAAATGCCGTTCTTGGTATTGCTGCAGTTTCTCAGTCATATCTTTGTCAGTTTGACAAGCCCTTTTGCTGGACCCAATTTCCAAATTCCTTAATTTAATCTGTGCTTTTAGTTCCTCATACTCAGTGATGTATTATCTTCTCTCACATCCTGCATCGCTTTTGCTTGTCTGTTGAATTGGATCTCATGAGCACAGATTGAGCATATTCAACTTCACCTCCTCAAGCTGTTTCCCAAACTGTTAGACACTCAGTTCATGCGCATCTTGTCACCCTGACTTTAAGGGCACCAGTAGACTTCGGCTTGTCTGTCGCTCTTAGCCTCTTCTTCCAGCCGATTGCACTCTCTAGTTTTGCCCTGTGAAGCTTTGATTGCCATATCCAGCTTCAGCATCATAAGTGTCATGCCCATCTCGTCCTTATTTTTTTCTTCAGCTGGCCTTCATTGACCACTTGTAGCTTGAGTCGGTCCATTTCACCCAACAACTTTTTAGTGGTTCCAACTGCTGAAACCTCTGTTGCTCCAGCTGTTCAGCAGTCGTAAAGCCTCGGACCAGTTTCACAGCTGTTTCAGAGAGTCCATTCACCTCTTCTGCTGGTTCAGAGGGATAGTCCCATTTAGGGTTTTTCGCCCAGCACTTTGTCACAATCAAAAACAAATGTCTAATACAAATAAAATAAAAAGTAAATGCTGGATTCCAGAGGTTCTGAACTTTACGAGGTATACCATACCTGTTGACTGAGCTGAAGTTGGCTGGATGACACTGGGAACTTGTGTTTATAATCTAAAAGACTTTGGGTTAGCAAGGTAGAGGGCCAAATAAAATTACCCAGAGGGCCACAATTGGTCGTAGTGTGGTCATGCCTGATCTAGATAATCAACCCAATAAAATTGAATAAATTTAGTATTTAATTTTGGCAGTTCAAATAAGGGGTATGGCTCGATGGGGAGGAGAAATGGAACTTTCTCAGCGTGGTCCAGACATCTCCAGCTTTTAAATGTAGATGTCCACCCCCAGAAGTGTGCCCTGCAGTAACCCATCCGCCTAATCCTGTTAGGCCCGAGTGGCTTATGTCCCGTCAGACTCAAAACCTCCTGCCTCCTCCTGGCTGCTGTCTACCCACAACTCGCCATATGGTTACTGTCGCATGTGAATATCTGTTTGGCATGTTTACTGCGTGGTTGCACTGATACAGGCCATGATACCCGAGAAGCTGATCTGTTGTCTGCTTTACTTCCTGTGATGCAGCCATTAAAACACCCCCCCCCCCCCCCCCCCCCTCATTTCCCTGTACATGTGATGGGTGCTGTTATAAGGAATAAACTACTCCTATGCTTGAAGATTTGTCTTTACAAAATATTTTAAACTTGCAAAAACTGCATGTTTTGTCTATTCACAAATTGGTGGAAGCACACATTGACCCTCATTTATGAAACTTGCGCAATTACCAACACAGGATTTATGATTGTGTGAGATCCGCACAGATCTGAGCGTATGCAACCGCGGCTGTTGATAAATGCAGCGCTCCCAGCGTATTCATGAAAGTCACGCCTCGAAATATTCATAAACCGCCTGTTTCACGCCCCGTTTTTACGACAGGTCAGCATGGAAGCCAGCCAGCAAGACTAGTTGGAAGCCTCAAAAGGCCTGTTAGTGACACGCACTGAGTTTTATATTGAGTTTTATTTTATAATTTTGTTTAAAAAGAAATGTACACTAATTTATGTATGCGCGTTTCTCCCCTATAGTGACCCACTGCAGCACTCATCTCTCTTGAACTTTAGAAGTGAATGAATATATGAATCAATGACTGAATGAATGAAGGAATCTTAATATCTCTGATATTATGAATGCAATAGAGCAATCTCTGTGAGAGAGAAAAAGGATGCGTAAGCTTTTGGGAACTGTCCGTCATTTCACAGAGAAACTCTGGCCAAAACGTCTGAATGGCGCGCACCACATTTGAAAAGTTATGTGGTGGGACCTCTGTGGCACCCGCTGCACACTGCCCAAAGAGCCACTGCCCGTGAGCCTGTTCCTACAGATAAGCGCATTGCCATCCTAGCTCTGCTACATGTGGAGTACAGCGTTTATGGGGCTTTATGCACAAAACTAATAAAAGCATTGCTTTGAATGAGGCAAAACAAATAGCCATGCGTATTTACGCAGTGCAGGGCGGGTCACACATTAACTGAGTAAGTAAGTCAAGTGTATTTGTATAGCGCCTTTCACAGACCAGGATCACAAAGCGCTTCACATAAAAAAAAACACATACAACTCAGATTTAAAAACAGAAACAGAAGAGGGTCCTCATCATGATCTGTGATTTATTCGAAGTTTGCGTGTTTCCAGAGTGTTAGTTTTTCTGATGCACAAATTCAATTTTAGAAACATGATGCTCAATGAAAACGCACCTTATAATTTTGCCAGACTGGGATTGTTTATTGTTGTCACATTTTTTTATTTCATGCGTCTTTTGGTGTGTTGTAATGAACGTTGAAATGAGCGTACACATTTACACCTATTGACTTGGCGTATATTCTGTGCGTACCGTACGCCCGTGTCCAGATTGATAAATGCTGAAAAGTGTAAAAAAAGGCGCGTACGCCTCATTTACACCCTGATTTGGACGTACGCAAGTTTCATAAATGATTACCTAATTACCTCCGTCCTGTTGGAGGAGAGGTTGTGACTCCAGAGGTTGTGATTCCAGAGTTTGTATGTTTATATTTGTGATTTACAGTATTTGGTAAATGTTGAAGGTGCACTGCAAGTGGTGGCCATAGTGTTGTATAAACACTTGATCATTGGAGCGTAATAGTCTCCTCTCCTCCTGTCCCTCCTCCTGCAGCGCACATGTCTTCTGACACTTTTATAATCTGATCAAAACTCCAGGCTAAAGATGTGATCAGCCTCATCTGAGGTCAGAGCCACAAATGAAGGAGTGCTGTTTTTACCTGCCCTTTTTGAAACCTTTTTAAATTTTCCAAAATGGAATATATTACAAACTCATCTAGAAAACAATAGTAAGGCTGAATTTATACGGAGGCGCTGCGCAGACGCTGCCAAGCTATTAACAGAAACGACCAGGCTCCTATTGCAAATTTCACAGCGTTCATACGAGGATCAAAAACGATGTAGTTCTAGCTCCCGGACAGTAGTGGGCAGAGGAACTTCACAACACACGTGAGTATACTCACTTCCTCTGGAAGACGTCAAAGATGCACCAACATCATTCTGCATTTTAACAGCAGCTGCGAAAATAGAAACTGAACCTAGAGCTTTGCGTGGTTTCGTTTGGACGAACGAAGCTGTATAATTCTCCTCTGTGTAGCGCTCGAAGCACAAGTAGCTAGTTAGTGTACCCGCCGCCATTGTTGTTTACGTTTGTTCTCGGCTACTGCGCATGTCCA